TGTGATAACAGCAAAAACACATTATAGCAAAAGGTTGCAAGTCAGAACCAGCCAAGAGGAGAGAGGCATAGGGCAAAGTTTGGGAGAGTCCCAGTGAGAGGCTTCTGCTGTTCTCAGGGACTCACTACCCTCTCGGCACCTGGATATGTCAGGGATCACCTTCAGTAACATGACTCCTAGCTGGTAAGGACTCCGGTCCCTTCCCCAGTGGTCTGCTCCCACGCCATGCTTCCCTAGGCAACTGCATGTGTCATTGGTTGTACTTCATAGGGTTGGGAGGGGGTGAGGGTAAAGGGCTGTGACGGGCCATAAATGGCCATGTTAGGCTCAAATGCTCCTTCTCTTCTTCATGTCCTTGGTACACACATCACTGACCGTGTCAAGCATACCTGGAATGAGGCTGTGCCAATCAGTCTGCACAGATTTAAGCAGGTGCAGGTGTCTTTCTCCAACCAGGCTATGGCTGTGACAGCCCCACCGCCACCCCACTGCTCCTATCATGGGGCACCTGCAAGGTGGCCACTGTAGCTTTGCTCACCAAGGCCCTGGGTAGCCTTGGGCAGCCAGGCTCTGGCCATCCTTCCTGTCCCTTGGGGGCTTGGGTTCCCAGACCTTCTCTGCCCTAGGATCATGACTTGTGGAAATGCCTTGTGGAGGGCTGGGAGTGGGCTGGCGCCTTCGACCAAGCTCAGGACCTGTGCAGGGCATGGGCGGAGCTTTTGTATTCTGTATGCAGCCCCTGCCTCACCTTTCCTGGAGGACAGACTGCTCTTGGGGACAACAGGGCTGGACCCTGGCTGAAGGGACTTGAGGGCTCCAGGGCCAGGATGGAGGAGACTGGCCCCATCTCCAAAGCAAAGTACCTGCACGCTGACCTGCCTTCCTTTGCTCTAGAGCTCTCGGGATCAAATGCAGAGAAGGAACGGCAGCAGAGGAAGCATAGGCCAGGCCCCTGGAGCTATGCCTGACCTGTGCTGGAGGGCTGACCTTTCTGGAGAAAGATCCCATCAAGTGTTTGCTGTGCTGAGAAACCAGAGACCGTCTGGCCTCGCTGCTTCCAAGGAGTCGTGTGACCTGGGCCTGGCCTCCAAGGGGCCTCCCCAAGGGGCTTGGAGAGCCTCTAGTAGAGAACACAGGAAGACAGATGATACTTTCTGGAAAAGCACAAGAAAATGCCCATCGGCAGAGGTGGAGTGGCAGTTTTTGACCAGTTGCCAGCTCTGCTGATGAATTGGAACACTGGGATATACTCAGAGGGACCTGAAGCCTTTAGGGAGGAGCCCAATCACCCACTGCGGCTGCCCACAGGTCAGCTCAGTCCAGAGGGCCAGGCTGGGCTTTAGAAGTCTCTGTCTCTCATACCTATAATCCCAGCATTTTGGGAGGCTGAGGTGTGAGGACTGCTAGAGCCCAGGAGTTCAAGACCAGAATGGGTAAATTGGTGAGACCTTATCTCTACAATAAATAAAAAAATTAGCCAGGTGTGGTGGCACATGCCTGTAGTTCCAGCTACTCAGGAGGTTGAGGTGGAAGAATCACCTGAGATCCAGCAGGTCAAGGCTGCAGTAGCTGTGAGTGTGCCACTGCACTCCAGCCTGGGCGACAGAGTGAGATTCTGACTCAGAAAACAAACAAATAAGCAAAAAAAAAAAAAAAAAAACAAACCACAGACCCACACACATGCAACGACACACACTCATGCTCACACACACACACCCCAGCACATGTATACTCCCACACCCACACACTCTCATACTGGCACACCCTGCTATACACATACACACTAACATTCCCAGACACACTCATTCATTCTCACAACGGGATACACACTCATTCACACTCTCACACAGACCAGTACACACATTCCTACTGACATAGTCCTGTGCACACACCCTCACACATCACCATTGGACACACCTACAGCCCTAGGCAAGGGGTCTTTCAGCTCTGCTCCAGCCCTGTTGGGTTGAGGTCATCAGCCCAGGAAAGCAAACATGCGGCTCCATGGCTCCTGGCTGTGCCTAAGGTGAGGGGTCTCCTCCCTCTGGCCTCTTGCCCTTCTCGCTGCCTGAGACCCAAGCATTGGGGCAGATGCAGCATTGCCAGCCAGGAGGACAATGAGCAGTGACGATGTGGCCCTGTCTTGTTGTCCATGTCCTCAGAGCCAGGAAGGGAGTGACCCCATGTCCTACATATGGGCTTGAGTGGTGCATGTGCCCCTCTACATCCTGAGCTTTAAACTGTACCTGGTGACATGGAGCTCATGCTGCCTGTGACTTGAAGCTGAGTTTTCTGCTCAGGGCCTCCGTCACTGTGGCTGCAGTTTTGGACACTGGACCGCTGAGGTTGAGCAGATTTAATTAGCTGACTCCTCTCTAGACTCAGCCCTCAGGAGATCTGCCAGCTCCAGCTGGTGCCCTGTGGAATGAACCTTGGGCCTAGGCCACACCGGGAGTCACGCTTACCACCCCGGGTGGCTCAGGGAAAAGGCTGCTGGGCCTATGTGCAGTGAACATGGTCAGGCATGAGGGTCTAGGGAGGAGTTGTTACGTAAACTCTTGAGACGTGTTTACTTTTGGCCTCAGGTCAGGTGGGTGACAGTTTTATTTTATTTTTTATATTTTTTGTAAAGATGAGATCTCCCTATGTTGCCCAGGCCGGTCTCAAACTCCAGGGCTCAAGTGATCCTTCCATCTCAGCCTCCCAAATTACTGGGATAACAGGCATGAGCCACTCTGATGGCCAGGGTGATGGTTTTACATGGGAAGTGAGATTGTGCAGTCTGTGTCAGGGGGGTTGGATCCTTTCGGCATCTGCTCATATCCCTTGGGGATGGGTTTTCCTGTCTGCTGGGGTGATGACGGCCAGCAGGCCCAGCCATACCACCAGGCCCATCTAGATGAGCATCTCCAGTGGGTGGGGACACGAGGGCTGGAGAGGATTCCTTCGGTCCAGACCACCACAGAGCTGAGAGCCTGGAAAAATACCCTATTGTTTTCTCAAGTGAAGGAAATTTGGGAGCAGGCACGCCCAGCTTGATATGGCATTCCACGATGTTGGGGTCTGGCTTCGTGTACCTTGCTCTGCCCCCAACCTAGCTCGTGACTAAGATGTCACCCTAGGCCCCCAAATGGCTCTGGGGCTGCAGCCATTGAAGCCTGGGCACTGGCACTTGGCCACCTGTCAGCAGCCCATTTTCTCTTGCTCTAGCTTTTGCTCTTCCTTCTAAATACCAAGTTTTGAAAGAGAAATTTATACTCGTTTGCTCCAAATAATAAATAACCTGCACTTTATTTTATTTTTAATAGAAACAGAATTTGGTTCTGTGGCCCAGGTTGGAGTGCAGTGTTGAGGTCACAACTCACTTTGGCCTTAAACTGGATCATCCCACCTCAGCCTTCTGAGTAGCTGAGACTACAGTCATGTGTCACCATGGCTGGCTAATTTTTTTTTTTTTTTTGAGTTAGAGTCTCACTCTGTCGCCCAGACTATAGTGCAGTGGCCGCTCCCAGCCACCACAGCCTCGACCTGCTGGGCTCCGGCGATCCTTCCGCCTCAGCCTTCCAAGTAGCCGGAATTACAGGTGCGCGCTACCATGCCCGGCTAATTTTTTTTTTTTATTTATTGTAGAGATGAAGTCTCGCTGCCCAGGCAGGTCTCGAACCCGCGGGATCAGGCAATCCTCTCACCTCAGCCTCCCAAAGGCACGGGATTACAGGCTGAGCCACCGAGCCTGGCTGGCTGGCTAATTTTTTAAAAACTTTTTTGTAGAGACAGGGTCTTGACATGTTGCTCGGGCTGGACTCGACCTCCCAGCCTCAAGTGATCCTCCTGCTTCGGCCTCCTGAGTAGAGGCATGAGTAGAGGAGTAGAGGTATGAGCCGTCATGCCTGACTGCAGGTGCAGAAACTGAGGCCTGGAAAGTCTGTGGAGTGCCGATGCTGAAGGAAGGGCAAGGGAACAGGAGAGCTGCCCAGTCATTGGGGCATAGAGGACCAGAGTGTGACCCTTTCCTGAGGGCAGATAGGGAGGGAATGTTTCCTCAAGGAGCAAGACCTTGAGGTCTGCGCCCAGGATAGGCCTCCACTGGCCCCATGCCTGAGCCTCTGCACGTCTCCAGGGCGCCTGGGGTGCTCCGCAGAGCTGTTACAAAACTAAAAATGCCCCTGTGTCCCACGTTCCAATTCAGAGACCCGTCTGTTCCCAAGAGAGGAGGCGCCGGCAGCATGAGTTCCACCAGAAGCCGGGTCACCGGGTCCTTGTCTCTGCCCTGCAGACGGCGCATTCCAAGGGCCCCTTGGGGGCCTGCCCCCGCTCTCCCAGGCCCGTCTGCCTTTGCACAAGGGCTTGCTGGTCTGGACTCGCTACGTGACTGCCTGTGTGTGCACAGTCCAGCCAGCATGGGAAGGTGCCTGGGGGCCTGACGCAGGAGCAGCCCCTGCCTGTGCGAACTTGTCATCTGAAACAAGCCAGCAGGCGGTCGTGTCAAAGTGGGTGGAGCCAAACAGTGCTGCTTTGTGGCCTGACGGGCCATGAGGTCACAGGGCCTGGGGAGAGGGGACTATGAATGCGGATGCAACGCACAACCCTCCCTCAGACCCTGGGGCTGGGGTAGGGGTTCCAGGGACTAGGGGGGCTGCTTCCCAGGAAAGCCTGTCCCCCAGCCCCTCAGCCACCTAATCTGCAGCTGCTGAGACTGTTTCTAAACCTGGGGTGTCAGTGACAACTGCTGACGCTGGAAAGTCTCACGCTCAGGCACGTTGAGGCAGATCCGTATATTATGTGGTGAAACTTGCCTTCATTTTCCTTTCTAGGAGAGCTTGTTAAGAAGTGAGTAGGGCGGTGGCTCATGCCTGTAATCCTAGCACTTGAGGAGGCTGAAAAGGGAGGATTGCATGAGTCCAGGAGTTTGAGAACAGCCTGGGCATCACAGTGAGACTCTGTCTCTATTAAAAATAAACAAATACTTCCACCGCGGCAGCCATTGGAAAGCAGCAGCCATGGTCCTGTGCTACCCCATGGCTGTGGGCCTCAACAAGGGCCACAAAGTGACCAAGAACATGAGCAAGCTGAGACATAGTCACCATCGCGGGTGCCTGACCAAGCACACCAAGTGCGTGCGGGACATGATCCAGGAGGTGTGCGGCTTTGCCCCCTACAAGCGGAGCGTCGTGGAGCTGCTCAAGGTCTCCAAGGACAAGTGGGCACTCAAGTTCATCAAGAAACGGGTGGGAGCTGGGCTCGGTGACTCAGCCTATAATCCTGTGCTTTGGGAGGCTGAGGTGAGTGGATTGCCTGAGTTCACGGGTTCGAGACCCGCCTGGGCAACTTGACGAGACCTCATCTCTACAATAAATCAAAAACTAGCTGGGCTTGGTAGCGTGCGCCTGTAGTTCCAGCTACTTGGAAGGCTGAGACGGAAGGATCGCTGGAGCCCAGCGGGTCGAGGCTGCAGTGGCCAGGAGCGTGCCACTGCACTCCAGTCTGGGCGACAGAGTGAGACTCTAACTCAAAAAAAAAAAAATAAAAAAATAAAGAAACGGGTGGGGACGCACATCCGTGCCAAGAGGAAGTGTGAGGAGCTGAGCAACGTGCTGGCCGCCATGAGGGAGGAGGCGGCCAAGAAGAACTGAGCCCTTGGCCCCAGTAAAGCCCTTGCAGAAAAAAAATAAAAATAAATAACTAAAATATTTAAAAATTAATTAAAAAATAAATGAGTGGGGACTTGTCGCTGGGGAAATACGAACCAAGCAAGGAAAGCATGGAATGCATTGAGACTTCATTGAGCATTTCTTCTTATAATGAAGGTGGTTCTCCACCTGAGATGGCTAGCATGTGGAATACACAGGCTCATGACGACCGGGTCTGTCAGGACTTTCTAGCCCATCAGGTGGGGTACCCTTGGTGATGCAGACACAGGCCCTGTTGGTCAGCTACCATCATGACAGTACTGTGTAACGAGCACTCCTGATGCAGTGACTGTCGCAGAGGACTCTGGCTCCTGTTAACTGTTGGTGGGCCACCAGAACGCACAGGCTCAGTTCCGGGTGGCAGGTGCAGCTCTGCTCCCGTGTCATTTTCCTCAGTCCCATGGGCAGGTCAGGGCACACAGCTGTGGTGACAGAGGTGCCAGGGGCAAACCCAGCTGTGCCTGCACACTTGAATTTCTCGTACCATGTCCACTGTCATCCCTGGACCTAGGCAAGTTGCATGGCAAAATCCAAAGTCAAGAGCTTGAGGATAGCACTCGGCCCTTCCTGAGGCCACAGCAAGGGCACGTCCCCAATAGTCCCTGAATGTAGAGAGGGGTGGGGCCAAAGGACAGGGGCTGGTGCTGGTGCTGGCTGAGGAGTTAGAAAAGAGGACATGTGTTGGACACAGTGGTCACACCTGTAATCCCAGCACTTTGGGAGGCCAAGACGGGAAGATTCCTTGAGCCCAGGAGTTCCTGGACAACATAGTGAAAACTTGTCTCTACAAAAAAAACCCCAAAACCAAAATCAGCCAGGTGTGGTGGCATGCACCTGTAGTCCCAGTACTCGGGATGCTGGGGTGGAAAGATCACCTGAGCCCAGGAGGTTAGGCTGTTGTGATCCATGATCATCATGATTGTGTCACTGCACTCTAGCCTGGGCAGCAGAGTAAGACCTCGACTCAAAAAAAAAAAAAAAAAAAAAAAAAAGAGTGGGTGAGAGAGAGAAAGAAAAGAGAACATGTGAAATTTGCCAGTAGAAAGACCCAGTGCTACATTTTGCTGCTTCTCTGTGCCTCAGTTTCTCCTGTAATTAACATAAGAGATGAATTCCAGCTTTCCCTGGGCTTGTCCCAAAGGGGCTCCCTGGACTACCCTGGAAAAGCACATTGGGATTTGATTCTGTGGCAGACTTCCTGGGAGGCACTGGGAAGCTGTGCCTTATCAGCACAGAGCTGGTTCTTGGCTCAGCCAGGCCTATACGACCCCTCGAGGGAGATAGGTCACAGAAGGGGTCTTCCAGCAGGTGCCAGCCTTGGGGATCCCTCACGAGTTCTGCTGTGGACACAACACCATGGATAAGGTTAGGGCTGAGACCACCCCCGAGCTTCCCAAACCCTCAGAAACTCTTGTAACTCAGTGGCCTCCGCCTCCCGGGGCCCCTCCCTGTGCAGACGAAGGGCCGCATCTGGCCCTGCAGAGCCTGCGAGAGGGTGGCCAGGGTGGGCCCAGCAGGAGGAACTTGGTCCAGGGGTGAATGTCCTTTCGTGCCATCACCTTTCCCTTTCCAGCCACGTGGCAAGGCTGCTTCCCCATAGCCAGCAGACCTGCCAGAGCAGCGGGGGAGGCGTGGCCTCGCCCAGTGTGCCTGTATTGAGTGGCTCAGTCCACCCGCCCCACCCAGCCTTCTGGGCACCTTGTCTAGCCCATCCTGCACGGACAGACTCACTGCACTCAGTCTGTGGCTGTGGGAGCCCCCAAACCCTCCGTCCCTACAGGCAGTGGCAGGATCTGCCCAGCGTCTGCGACTCACACTTACACCAGCCTGTCGAGGACCGAGAGGGAGGGGTGTGAGTATGAGTGCGTGTGTAGTGTGAGCTGTGTGTGCGTATATGGTATGTGTGGTGTGTGTGGTGTATGTGTGTATGTGCACATGTGTGTATGTGGTATGTGTGTGATATGTATATGGTAGGTGTGGTATATGTGTGATGTGTGAGGTATGTATGGTATATGAGTGGTATGTGTAGTATATGTAATGTATGTGTGATGTGAGGGGTATGTGTGATGTGTGAGGTGTGTGTATAGTGCATTTATGGTGTGTGTGGTATGTGTGATGTGTATGTAATATGTATGTGTGGTGTATGTGGTTATATGGTGTATAGTGTGTACATAGTATGTTTGTGGTGTGTGTGTATGTGGTGTATGCGTGGCATGTGTATATGTGGTATGTGTGGTGTGTGTATGTGTGGTATGTGTGTATGTGGTGTTTGTGTGTGGTGAATATATGATATGTGTTTGGTGTGTGTATGGTGTATGTGTGGTGTGTGTGTGTGGCATGTGTGGCATATGTGTGTATGTGGTTTGTGCCATGTGTATGTGGCATGTGTGTGTATGTGGTGTGTGTGGCATATGTGTATAAGTGGTGTGTGTGGTATCTGTGTGCATATACTGTATGTGTGGTGTGTGTAAGGTGTGTGTGTGGGGTATGTGATGTGTGTGTCTATGTGGTATGTGTGTGGCAAGTGTGTTCAAGTGGTGTGTGTGTGGCATATGTGTATGGGATGTGTGTGGTGTGTGTATGGTGTGTGTGGTGTGTATAGGCATGTGTGTGATGTGTGTATATGTGGTGTGTATGTGGCACGTGTGTGTGGTGTGTGTGGGATGTATATGTATAGTGTGTGAGAGGCACGTATATTTGTATGTGGTATGTGGTGTATGTGTGGTGTGTGTGCATGTGGTATGTGTGGTACATGTGTGTGTGGTGTGTGTGACATGTGGCATGCATGCATGCATGCACGTGCGGCATGCACGTGTGCGCTGTATGTACATGTGGTGTGTGGCACATGTGTTCATGTGGTGTGTGGGAGCATGTGTGTGTGGTATGTGTGGCATGTGTATATGTGGTGTGTGTGTGTGGCACATGTGTGTATGGCACATGTGTGTATGTGGTGTTTTGGGGGACGTGTGTGTGTAGCATGGTGCATGCATGCATGTGGTGTGTATGTGGCATACATGTATATATATATAGTGTGTGGGGCATGTGTGTGTTTGTTGTATGTATGTGGAGTGTGTGTGTATGTGGTGTGTGAAGTCATGTGTGTGTGTGTGTGTGTGTGTGTGTGTGTGTGTGTATGTGTGTTTTGAATAAATGAGCCCTAGCCAGAACATCCTCAAATATCTGAGGAGACCTGGGTCCCCTCTTTCAGCACTTTGAGAGTCTTCTCTGTGTTAAGGATAAAAACCAGCTAAAAGCAATCTTAATTTTTTTTTCTGGGGGGGGTGATGACTCTGTTGCCCAAGTTAGAGTGCAGTGACACAATCACAGCTCCCCATACCCTCAAACTCCTTGGTTCAATCCTCCAATCTCAGTCTCCCAAGTACTAGGATTTCAGACACATGACATTATGCCTAGCTAATTTTTTTAATTTAGTTTTTTATATTTTGTAAAGATGAGGTCTCACTATGTTACCTAGACTGGTCTTGTATTACTGGCCTCAAGCAATTCTCCTGCCTCAGTCTTCCAAAATGCTAGGCTTGCAGGAATAAGCCACCACACCCAGCATCAAAATATTCTTTACACGTGAAAATGGGTTTGCTTATTATGTTCTTTTCCAAACCGACATGGAGAATTGAGGCATGATTCAGGGAGCATCTGCTGTAAATGTGGGAAAAAATAAACAGGAACAATTACAGCACACTCAGCATCTTTCCACAGAGCCATGCCAATATGCCCATAACTTAAACCATTTAGTTCTTTCAAGCACACTATGAGGTTTTT